ATATTATTAAATAAGCAATTGCATTATTAATTAAAATGTCTAGGATTTTGTGTCATGTGAAAGTATATTTATGTATATGGTAAACATATTACTGGTGCTAAATAAAGTAGCATCAGAACCAAAACCTAGCTAATCTGTTTATGCACTTTTATACTTATAAAATATTGAAATAGATTTGTAGAAAGTGGAATTTTTACTTTACGGGGTTAAATATACCAAAGAAATTAAACCATATTAATGATGTTAGAGGGCCGTGGTTAATGTAAAGCCCAAGAAGGCGCATTACACACTGTTCCACAGAACTGCAGACAGAGTTCACACAAATTGAAATTTTACACAAAACTACAAAAACACAAATTAACATTTTACAATTAAACCACTGTAGTTTTCAGCCACAAGACATGTAAAGCCCTTAATCCAGCATTGGCAAACTGAATGGTTCTCTTATGAGTGGAATAAAACTACACAGGATAAATAAAAAGCAAGAAATAAACTGTTTAGATTGATGGATGCACCACAGGAACAAGAGTGAAATTGAATAGTGCTTCAGGGGACAAACTAGTGTTAATGTAAGTCAATGGAAACTAGGGGCAAATTAAGAAATGTGAGAAATTTGAGCAAGAAGACTGAAGGTGGCTATTGACACTTACATTGGGGACTGAATACTAACTTGAGATAAAAGAAGAGTAGTTGCAGGTGAAAGGAGAAAAGAAAGCCTTAGTGAAAGATAAGGGAACAGAAATATCACTGATTAACCCTTTCACTACAGGAATTGTTTATACACAGTTTCCAGGGTTTGTGTATCCATACACAGGAATCATGTTTCCATCTTTTCTTATATTGCAAATAAAATTAATGTTTAGCAAAAGGACTTTGATTGCAATGCGTGCCTCTTGAGGTTCTAATGGTAGCCACCTACAGAAGAGAAGGTGGCTACCATTAGAGTGCCAGTTCAGCAGAGACCCCTGCAGCAACATCGGTCAGTGGAGAAATCTAAAGATGCTATATACAGCCAGATATATTCTGTAAGACACACAATTGGACTGTTCATCTGAATTTGTCAATGTGCATATGTCTCTGTGTTTCAGTGATCAATGTATATGTGTATGCATGTAGTGTGCGTATGTATATGTGTTTATATCAGAGTGTATGTATATGTGTGCATATATCAGTGTATTTGTATAAGTATGTGTGACTGTCTGATTTAGGGTGTGTGTCCAAAGAGATAATGGCTGCAATGTGAGTGTAATATGGCATGGATAATGTTGTGGTAATGTAGCAACATATACAATATATGGACAATAAGAGCACATATATGGTAGTATATAAGTGGAAGGATTATAAAATATGTAGGACAATATCAATGTTGCATATTCATAAATATTATTTATTCACAATATTATTTTTTTAATATTTTATCTGTAAGTGCATTATTATGTTAATATTGTTTTCAATTTTCCTGTCCAAGAAAAAAATATTACTCATTGTTTGCATTAAATATTGTGCTATCTATGCATACTAAAAGAAAATACATTTAAACATTACTTTCCAGGACACTCAACATACTTAGATTCTTGTTGTCTTTCTTTGTTAAATCACTTAGTAGCGCAGGGTTTAAGTCAAAATATGTGAGAAGGGTTATAAAATTTACCATTGGTCTTTTGCCACTGGATAGATTATACATATAAATTCAAAGCTCAAATTGCCCATTAAAGGTTATCCTTAATGATATATATATATATATATATATATATATATATTGTTTTGGGGATTTTGTTTTTCTCCTGTCCCTTCTATTTTTTCCCCATATGCAATGACTATGCTGTCAAGATGAGCATTTTTGTACATGTATATTGATGTCACAACTAGTTTTAAAATTTATAAAATTGAATAAAGATTAATTTATATTAAAAAAATGTTTTATCCATAATGGTATCATAACCAACATTTTTTATTTTTTATTAGTTTAGTGAAGTACTGTCTACGGGTACAGATGAGACTGGTTTTGGTGTGTTTGACTTAAATGTGCATTTTAATTTTAATAAGTCATTTCAACAAATTAAATATGATTCAACTTTACAGCCACTAAATGAGTCAATGAAATTATAGCATGTCATGTACAACAAATCAGGCGTTGTTATTATGCCAACAAAACTTGGTTTAAAAGAGCTATAACCTCTGCAAAACATGCAAAGGTCATAGCATAAAGGAATACAGCTTTTGGTTGGAAGCTTATCAGTTATCACCTCCAAGAAAGAAGGAAGAGCTATTCTGATAAGCTAAGGGTGTTTGTATGTTCAACAAGTTTGCTAGACTTCTAAGAAGCAAGTCTATGTACATAGCATGACATCAAAACGTCACCATACTGTGTTTGTTCCTTCTTGCTAAGACTGGGTACAACCATTGCATTCTTGCCCAAAATATATAAACTATGTGGTACAGAGGTATCTTTATTTTGTGTAAATACAAGTAAAGATGGGTGTCAACATAGTTTAAGGACAGAATGTTACCAGAAGCAGAAATATATGGAAAATACCCACAAGAAATAAATGTTCTGTAACCTTGTGAAGGGCAGTTTTGATCGAGAAGAAGCAGGTTATTGAATTGTAAATAGAATAGTCAATCAAACAAAACATCATCAACCATATGGTATTATATGTTTTAATTCTAGAATGCAATTAATTCAAAGTGGTTAGTATTGACTATTATAACTATTAATAGTGAAAAGTAAAAAATTTAGTATCATTTCACTAACATTTAAAGCACATTATTCTCCACCATAAAATGTGAAAATCCTTGTATTAATAAAAACACATTTAACTGATAATTATATATATATATATATATATATATATATATATATATATATATATATATATATATTTTATATACGTGCAAAAGGTGACAGCCTACTTTTATAAATCTAATTAGAGTAGCATTTGTGAAATATTTGGGAAAATATACCAATAACTAAAATTAATACATTTTATCATGTATAACCTTTGAAACAGAAAAAAATATATAACACAAAAAATTAAAATACAATTTAATCTTATTTATTTATAAAATATTTTACCAGGAAAGATACATTGAGATTTCTCTCGTTTTCAAGTATGTCCTGTATAAAAGTATGTTTTGTATAAAATTTTGATTAAATTATAAAATGTATAATTTTTTTACACTATTCATTTTAAACTTTATAATACATCTAGAACTTGGCTATCATAGTTAGACTTTTAAAAGTTGGTTTGTCAAGTTACCACAACCTTCAATTAATCTCTAAACTGCCAATGTGTGTTTGTGCGCCTGAGTATGAATTAGAAGTAATAAATGTAATGATTAAGATAGCAAATACAATCTACAGCAACACATATAAAAGAGAAAACAGGTATGTTAGACTTTTGGATATCCTTATTTTGGGGACATAAGACTTTACATTCTATGATAAAATTGGTTTTAAAATAATATGATTGTTTCATACAGAATTCAGCGAAAAAAATGCTACTATTAATAAAGTAAAATAAAAACTAAATTATCAAGAATGTTCAGTGGCTAATTTATCATATTACGTTATATGATAAAATTAAAGAAAATATGATTGTTTCATGCAGAATTTAGCCAAGTAGTACTACTATTAACAAAGTAAAATAAAAACTAAATTAAAAAAGTATCAAGAGTGTTCATTGGCTCATTTATCATAACATGGCTTTGAGAGTAATGGTCTAAACGAGTCAATGACATAATTAATTATTACAATTTTTAATCTTTTTTAACAATAATATTTTTTGTATAGATTATTAGTGCAACAAATGCTAACACTGAAATTAGCCATGTGCTCAAACTCCAAATGTTCTTGGGGGCAGGAATGGCTATAGTATTCTTCATTCTAAATATACAAAACATCACCATTATGGACATTGAAATGTAAACTCTGCTGCCAATATAAAGTCAGATCTTTCAAATAGGTTAGTTGACAGATAAGCTAGTAGATAGTCACGTATGGTACATATGTCATCTATATTTTCTTTATATCTATTTTGTATAGTTATTTACTTCATGTACTACTGTCTGCATAATGTAGGCTAAAATAGTCAAAGTTGGAAAAAATCTTTAACTCAATCAGGTGGTTGTCAGTGCATCCTTTATTGTGCAAGCAAGAAAATGCATCTTAAAATAATTTACATTATGACAGCAAAATATTTGTAATCTATTAATGTGCACTTGTGATTAAATATGTCTCTCATTTAAAGAATATATGAAAACATATATATACATCTAGAAGTACAAGTATCTATTACTCTCTAAGTAAGGTCCTACCGTAAATAGATATATTTCCATTTTAGATAATGGTTTTACAAACAATACAATCTAAAAAAAAAAAAAAAAATGCTAATTCAAATTTACTTTAGAATAACAGGCAATGGTGTGCGCTTGAGAGAACTTATAAGACACAAGATACTTTATAATTCCTTTCATACTATTCCTTGTGATTAAACTCTCACATTACACATTTCAATGCTTACTTTGCATATTTACATATTAATAGCTAGGTAACTTGATTCACAAAATAATAGCACAAAGTCAAAAAGGATGATGTCATAATAGCAGAATTAGCACATAAAACATAAACGTAAATGTTAACTGTGTGTATGTAAACGCAAGTTCACTGGGACATTATTCTTTCAAAGGAAACCAAATGTCACTAATATTGACTAAAATAATCAATTTAGATACTGCCAAAATATATCTCTGTAATTGGATTAATAATGATCACTTACAAATCTACAAGTACAATGACCTACTACTTTCAACATAAATATGTTGATTTCCATTTCAGATAGTAGTTATAATTAACTAGGTTCATATTATACACCTAAGTAAAATTATATAATTATTGCAAGTAAAAAAAAAAAGATATTGAATAAACATATTATGGTTTCATGGCAGGTTGTATTTCATTTACCTGAATGTCCACTGAAAATTCAAAAATCTTATTTAATCTATGCTAATGGATATTGGAAACCAATGATCATTTGAAATTACCAAATACAATTGCAACAAATATATTTGGTGATGTCAATGACCAGTTATTTATTTTGCAGTTACTCTCTAAATAAAGGAAACACAGGCATTACATGCTAACATCATGCTAACATAATAAAATGACTTTGTTGCAAGAGCTTTATTTGTTCATTTAATTTTTTTTTTTTTAAAAGAGTATCCTTTAGATATTAAATATTTATAAAGTTAACAAGCCAATGCAACTCTAATAAAAGAAAATGAATTGCCTTTTCCACTAACTTCTAGAAAAATGACAGTGATATTGAGCGGACTATTGGCAATACCTTAAATTAGGAACATTGTACAACACTGATGATAATCTTATCACAATTTATCACTTAGATCAATGTGAATAATGTCCTTATATATTCAAAACCTGTATGAGGAAACTCACCCGTGTGAGTGCACTCAAAACATAAAAGTAATATCAGGTAAATTATATTGAGTAAAAATATGCATACGTGAAAAGAGTTTCTACTTTTCAAAATAAATGGGTCAAGAAATATGTCGTGAGTAGGGCATCAAGTCCTCAATGACGATTGCAAGCGAGATGAATAAAACCTTGCAGTTATTTCCATAGAGCCGATAATAATGTCTACATTTCTTGATTTTGATCAGCAGATTTCCCTTGTAATAAGTACATCCTCGTGGTTCTTGATATAAATCAAATATAAGCACAACCTGTGCAGTGAATGTACATTTTATAGTCCATAGATATGCACATAGAGCTAACCAAAATCATCAAGACAGGCATATATTCTCCCTTGGTTTAGGCAAATTGAGAGTACCTTGGTGCAAAGATTTATATAAGCCCTACATAACCTACAAAATACAAAAATATAAATATATTTTAAAATATAATATTATCATTGTCAACAGTGAGATCCTATTTACTATGACTAGATGTGAAAATATTCAAAATAGTGTCGTTTGTTTTAGGGGATGGAAAAAGAATTTGAACAACTAACATGTTTGTTTCTTTTCAAAATATCTCCTTACCAGTAGTAAAAAGAAGATTGTTTGTGATCAATTCTTTTTGTGTTCTGAAAAACAAACCTTCAATTTAATAGGTAAGGTCAGAACCTAGTACAGCAATCGTCATCTGTTAATCATTACAAGGTCAGTAAAGCCTTATTATAAATGATAGTGACAAATTTAAAAATGTACATATACATTACAGAGTTTTTCTGCTATACATGAATTCCTACAATAAGCGCTGCATTTTTAGACAAAGCAGGAATTAAGAGCAGGTAGAATTTAAATTGTGATCAGTGGCAGTAACCAGAAAACACATCTCTGAATTAATTTATAGCAGAACCTCGCTTTGATATACATCAGTTCTATTTAGATGTTGCATTTTTACATTCATAGATCTTTTATTAGTTCACAGTGATGACTGGTGAAGTTTGAAGATGGTGCAGCTTCCTCCCCTCACCCGACTTACTGGGCTCTAGCCACTTTCCATACTCTGTTCAAAACTAGCTCCATCTCCAGTCCTCAGTTATGGGAAGAATGGAAACTGTAGATATAATCGTAACAGACAAATGCCCGACCTGTCCCTGTGGATTAGCCTCCAGTGTTAGTTTATAATATGCATTTGTCAAGTCGGTAAATTATTATCCCAACATCCTTGGGTGTTTGGACAATAATCTGACAATGAACAATTAAAAAGGTAATTTCAGGTTGGTTTAAGGCTTTAAAAGGGTAGACAAAGATATAACTATAACACTGCCCATTTTTTAACAGTTCCTTGGTGCCCACAGCCTGGATGCTCACTCTCCATATTGCTAATGCACATGTGCGGCGATCATTGCAATTGCATTAGGACAACCTCATAAGAAAGCATTGGATCAATGCTTTCCTATGGGATTTTAGCTGAAGCTGGATGTCCCCATTTACATAGTTGTAAATGTGAGAGAGTGTGAGTATGCAGGCATGCTAAAGTTGGGACAGTTTTTATTTACAGAATGACAGCATGCTAAATGGACGGTAGTGCACTACTCTTTATCTATTTAAGTAGGGTGGGGAGTTCCTACTATAGTGTGTTAGCAGCTCCTTGATTCCCTTATGTACCAAATATACATTTAAGCGCCTCACAAACACAGGATCATATTCTGTTTGGTTCACTAAATGGACGGTGGACCTTGTTAAGATGGCTGCCAAAGTTTTTATGTGGTAAAAATTATTTGCAATAGGGTGGTAAGCCAAAAACATGGTAAAAAGTAGATTAACATAATCCATCCAAGTTTGTGACAAAAAAATATATATATTTATACTGCCTGGCCAAGAAAAAAGTCACCACCTGGATTTAAGTAAGCAAATAGGTAAGAGTCTCCTATTGGATAGCTACTGCATGGGTGATTATCTTTCAGCTGGCAACAAGTTATTTAACCCAAACTGATGCAATGAGTAGCTTCTCATTTCTGAAACAACCATGTCGAAAGACACATCCCGTGGTCGTGGAAAAGATGTTAGTCTGTTTGAGAAGGGTCAAATCATTGGCATGCATCAAACAGAGAAAACATCTAAGTAGATTGCAGAAACTACTAAAATTGGCTTAAGAACTGTCCAACGCATTATTAAATGTGGTCTGATGAGTCCAGACTTACCTTGTTGCAGAGTGATGGGCGCATCAGGGTAAGAAGAGAGGCAGATGAAGTGATGCACCCATCATGCCTAGTGTCTACTGCACAAGCCTGTGGGGGCAGTGCTATGATCTGGGGTTGCTGCAGTTGGTCAGGTCTAGGTTCAGCAACATTATGTGCCCAAATAATGAGGTCAGCTGACTACCTGAATATACTGAATGACCAGGTTATTCCATCAATGGATTTTTTCTTCCCTGATGGCACAGGCTTATTCCAAGATGACAATGCCAGGATTCATCAGGCTCAAATTGTGAAAGAGTGGTTCAGGGAGCATGAAACATAATTTTCACACATGGATTGTCCACCACAGAGTCCAGACCGTAACCCCTGAGGCTGAATTAAGCAAGGTAGTTTACTAAAATATATCATTAATATACATTACATAAAGCCAGGGAAGTACAAGAGAAGGGGGGGCATGGTAGATCTTTCTGACAGATAACAACGTGCTGCTTGTCACTAAAAGTTTAATAAGTCCTATTACACATTGCATAAGCCCACAATTTTCTTTCAAGTGCTCAGTAACTCTGTAACTGAGATCTGAGACATGCTGTATCCATAGCCAGATTATCTGTTAAATGGCCATGGATTTTGCCTAGGACACTGTGTTCTAATCCTCTCCCCCTGTAAGCCAGAAGGGAGATCAAAAGATCTCTCTGTGAGGCCCTTTAAAAATCCTTCCCTGGTGGTCTGTAGTGTAACTCCAGTCCCTCATGGTTCCAGCGCTCTGTGAGGGGGTCAGAGCACAGGCGCCAGGTTTCACAAGCTGTGCTCTGACGCCATCACAGAATGAAGAAGGCACGCTCAGCACCCCACATATAGCACTCAGCCACTTCAATACACAGAAACAGAGCCCAGGGCTCTAGGAGGGGGCCCCAGCCTTTGGTTGTAGCTAGATGAAAGGTTGTGAAGCTTCACACTAGGACTTTGGTTTTGACTCTAAGACCAAGCTGATACTGATTTCAGCCTGTAATGAAATAAATGTTATCCATGTCAGGTACTCTTTGGCTTTATATTTACTCCAGATTAATCATATTGCCAGCTGCACATGTAATAAGGAGTCTATCAGTAACTTACTGCTTTAACCTGTGAACCCTGCGTGATGAGAGCTAATAGTGAAGAAGTTAGAAGTAGCTGATATGTTTCATAATAGCAGCAACATTCACAAGAAAGGTAAAAATTACTTAGCAGGGGCACAACTGAAGATGAGATAAGGAAAGGGAGAGCTAGGATGGACAAGAAAGCTACAAGCTAGATTTAGATAGAGAGAGAGCTGGAGCATTATTCAGAGGCGTTGTACTGTGTGGGCATCTCTGTACTGCAGCTCTGTGTAATCATTCAATCACAGTGATCCAGGTAGGTTGAAGAAGTTATAGATATGTCCTATATAGATATTGTGCCTATCTCTATATTGTGTTCAGCTCTGCCTGTTATATAGGTATCCCTATAGTCTTCCCAGTGTATTGTATAGGTATATTTGTGTTGTACCCAGCTCTGTGTTTTGTATCTCTATTTTCTTCTCGTCTGTGATATGTTTATCCCTGTATTTAACCCAACTCTGTTTATTGTATGAATATCTCTGTATTATGCTCTGCTCCACTTATTGTGTTGGTATTTCCTTATAGAACAGGGTTCTCTGTATTGTAAGGGTAATGGGTCTACCATAAGGGGTTGAGTTTATGAGTTTTAGCAGACAGATGACACATGTCAGAAGATGGTGATGTTAATTGGTATGTGAAATCACAGAAAAACAATAAAGTATGTTACAAGATACTATGCATGGAATATGAAACTATTTAAGTTTGTCTGCATCACTATGAAAAAAATATATATTTTTTTTTATTCCCCCCCAATGCCCTTTGCAGGCAACAAGTTTGCACAGTGAATTGTAATTGCACCTAAAACAGAAGCCTCCCAACCATCCCTACTGAGACGAGGCAGTCCAAATCTTCAGATCCTGTCACAGTCCCGAATTAGGCCTCAATTTAATATTGTTGGATACGCTTTCCAAATGACTTAGTATTTTTGGATACACTTTTTAAATCATTTTTTCAAGGTATTAAAATATCAAAAATGATATTATATATAAATAAAATATTAGCATAACAAAAACTATCAAAAAGTTACACAATTAAAATATGTTTTATAATCTTAGATCACTTAAAATTAAAAGTTTATACAAAATTATTAAATCAGTTTTCTAAGCTTATCCAACAATATTAAATTGATTTCCTGGTGTCATGCTTTTGAGGACACCAGGGAACTGTACCCAACAAGCATAGCGCCTTCAGTGCGCTAGGCTGAGCCTGGTCCACCCTTTGGGCAGAGCCAGTAACACAATTAACTGTCCCACCCCCTTCACTCCCTTTATGCCAGAGTTGGGAGTTATGAAAGCATATTGTACCTTGGCAATGTTCTTCTAGGCAGGGCAGTCCTTAGGCCTTTAGGCACCCTATGCGAAAATCTTCAAAGCCCCCACCCCAATCGTCGTCCTTCATCCATGT